TCCCGTCGTTCTTCAGGAACCGGTTGTCAGACGTCTGTATGTGATACCTCTGGTGCTGGAAGACCAAGGTGATGAGGGAATCTACACCCCAGGGAACGTCTCGATCAATGGCGATCTCGTTCTGCTCAGAGCTCAGGTGCGCGTATCTTTTCCTGGTGACGCTGAAGATGTTGACCTGGGGGTGCATGGCAATGTGCACGCTCCATTTCTCTGCGATGGCGATGGTCTGGGCGAAGCAGGTAATTCTGTCCTCGGTGCCGCCCAGGTAGCGCTTGTGAGGCTCAGACTGCAGTGACCAGCGCCCATCATCATGTGCAGTGATTACAAACCGACCATCTTCGCTCGGGGTCTCGCTGTCACCCGTCACGTTGCCGTCTTTGTCAGCTGCGATGTATCTCCCCAGATGGCTCTTCAGGTAGAACGTGCTCGAGTCATCGCCGTTCTGCTCCAAGGTCCAAATCTGTTTCTTCTTCATGCTGGTGGCTGATGCATTGATCTTGAAGCCGAACGTTTCAGCCGTGAGGTACTTGTTCCCACAGTTGATCAATCCGAATTGGATTTTGAGCATGTCGCTGGTTCCGTTTGCAGTCATGTTTCCTCTTGGCCTTGCTGGAATGGGTTCTGGTGCACTGTGGATGATGTTGACGGGTCTCTTTGTTTGCCGGAGCGAGCGTGCGCGCGCCTCTCTCTCTGCAGCCTCACAGCGCGAGCGCATAGCCACAGCTGTGGCTTTTATACAGATGAGTGATGTCACGCGCCTGTCCCGCCTTCCTTCAGCACACTCACACATCCCAAAATGAGTTGGGAAACACAGAATTGGACTAATATTCCCACTAGTGAAAGAGTTTATCAAACTACTTATTTTCCTAATACACTGAATCTACTGCGTAAAATAGACGTGAGCATCCTTGCGCATTTGAGAGAGGTCGAACTCTCACGTGCACTTGAAAGAATTCTGAAAATGTACTCACCCTCAAGTCGTTCCAAACCTGTCCAAACCACAATGGATTGCATTTAAACGGTATGGACAAAAAGAGGGACATTTTTCAAAATATCTTCTTTTATGTTCCACAGACTTGGAAAGACACCAGGGTGAGTTAATAATGACAGAGCAGTAAGTATGGTTAAAATGTATTTTAAAATCACTA